ATTTTCACTAGATCGCTGTTGCAAGTTGAGAAGCTCACTACGTGCTCTCTGCTCACATACTGGGGAATCAAAAGCCATTCGCAAAAGCAATTTTACCTCCAGCACACTATCTGGACGGTGATGTCCCCTCGCTATGTACTCAGCTTCCCACCAAATCCTGGCATTACCATGGAGCAGTAAGATGATGTACGCCACAGCCTGTCTCTCATCCGGCTACACGAACTCTAAGTAATCATCAACTTGGTGCAGCTAGGCCACTACATCTTGGACCTTATCACTGGAAAAGGGTGGTGGCTCTCTGAGCTTGATGGAGACGTTGAACAAGGAGGAATGTACTGGTGGTGCCATAGGCCTCATCGGTTGTGCAAACTGCTAGTTACTGTCTTGATACTGGCAGTACCGTGGTCCCAATGGTTTAGCTGGCGGTCCTTGAGGATTGTCAAATCCAGACGTAAACATCTGTGGTCTGACTTGTGGGTGATCTTGTGAAGTTGTGGACTGCCGTGGTAGTGGCGGTGCTGATGGTGGTTGCCTTAGTAAACTGGAACCGACTGCTGTAGATGTTGAAGCTCCAGCTGGTGGACTCGGCTGTGGTGATGCGTTGATAGCTGCATTAGCAACGTGACTTTGCTGCATTTGGTTGAATCGTGCAGCAATTTCTTTTGCTCGCTACATCATGATCTTCTCTCGCTCTGCAGACTGCGCAACACTCTGAACTTGAGCTTGATGTGCCCGCGTTTACTGATCAGACAAACTGGATAGTTTCTAGTTCGATTAGTTCAGCTGCTATCGCAATGTTCTTGATTTGGCACGTGAAGTATCCAGCTTCTAGCGTAGTGAGTCGATGGACTTCATTGCAGACTCAGCAACCTCGATCTGCTTGTTGAGCGCTTGTTCCATCTGGCCCATTCGCTCCGTGAACGACTTCTGGTCACGAAGTCTTGCTCGTCGCAATTCCTCCACCAATCTCACTGCCTCTGAACTCCTCATGTCTGAGTGCTGAGTGATGCTCAGCACAGCTCCCTGCCGTTCATGCAGCGCCTCCAAACCCGTCTTGACCTGCCCCAACGCTTGCGATGTCTCATCACGCAATGCATGCATTTGCTGTAGCGTAGTTGCATTGGCGTTGTATGCTTGCTGCGCTTGCTGCCCAGTTACAGCACTTTGCTAGGTTGCATGTTGCGCTTGTTGTCTAGCGATGGCACTCTATTAGGTTGCATGTTGCGCTTGCTATCTAGTGATGGCACTCTGTTGTACTGCGTTCATCGCAGTCTGCATAACCACAGTCGCTGCAACTGCAGCCGATGCAGAGGCTGTAGTTCCCAGTGATCCAGCCCCACACGATTCCTGCGTTTGCTGAAACGATCCAAATGATTGTGCGGGCTCGTATCCCCCAACACGAGTTGTCCTATCAATCATCCATACTGGCCTCAGTCTAGTGTCCAAATTCGCACTCAAGTTCGGCACCGGCTCTCCCATGGATGCACTACTGTAAGTACTGACCCCCGGTAGTACATTGTCCTATGGTGCCAAACTGCCACCCATATCCTCCACCGGCGGCTGCCGCGGAACGTTCTGATTGACTGAGTCCCCCGACGTGGACATCGCGTCATTACCCACAGTGTTCCCGGCACTGCCACCCATCATCGCACTATGCTGCGACATGGTGCCATATTTGCACTTGTTCCGTTCCGTTCCGTCACTCATGCACCGGTACAGGGTCGCTCTCACACTTGCCAACACAGGTCACAGATGCGTTGGCACACTCCCCACACCCGTCACAAATGCGTTGGCACGTGTCACACAGCAATCAAATCCCAAATCAGCTGCCAACCACACTAGATGACCGCTGTCATGATGACTCACCGGCACGGGTGCATAGCACGACCCGTCCGATGTTCTGGAACCTCCCCTGATGGTGGCGCTCCCCAAGCGCCCCCATAGCTCCTTGGATGGCGATGGCCCATCGTAGGGGCCTCCACTCTACTGGCGCCCCCTTCCAGACGCTTCCCCGCAGTGGTGTCCAGCTCCGAAACCACTTGGCATATTGTTTTTCTGCGCGCACCCCGTGCGATGGATCGACGATCCCTCTGGCGGTTGGCCAGGCGTAATCGGCACGGTCGCTTGATCGATTGCGATGCGGCGCGGACGTGGTGGGCCCCTTGGCGAAACGGCCTCTGTGGTGCGTCAGTCGGAAGGGCGGATTGGGTCCGGCGTTGCCTTGCGCGCGGCTCGCAGGCAGGCAGTGACAGCAAAACGGGATGTTCGTTACAAGGTTGCCAGCATCTTATCCCCGCGGCACACAACACGGTTACATAACCTTCAAGTCACCCTGTACTTAAACCACCGTCCCCAAAGCCCTCATTTCAATGCAACAAAATGGCCCAAAAATGGCCAAAATCCCAGAATCGCCTCGCTCCGCTCGATGCTCACCCAAGGCATGGATAATTGGTCTGCGCGCCTTTGCGTCGCATCTCACTTTGCTCGTATGAAGAACCAAGGACATTGTTCACACAAGAGTTGAGGATGACAAAGTTGTGTTGTTGTTGAAGCATTTGAGAACTTTTGACACTTATTTACTAGTCAAACTTCATCGTCGGTAGGTTGGACATTTTGTTGTTACAAAGGTCATGTCTCCGGTGGCGTATAGATTGGATCTTCCCTAGGGATGGAAGATTCACCCAACTTTCCATGTGAGTAACCTGAAAAGGTCCTTGCGGTCAGAGGAATTCGTACAAGAAGTGCAACCACCACCTCCAAAGTTGGTGGAAGGAACCTTGGAGTGTTAGATCGAGGGTGATGCATGAAGATTGTGAGTGTGGGGCTCCTGCCCTCTTTGAGCCGTGGACCCGCCTCGCCGGGCACTTAGGTCCTTACGGGGACCTAGGCGGGACCACCCCGACCTACTCCCGTATCATACATTATTGTATAAGTTGGTTGGGGTATCATTACCTTCTCTTGGGTAGGGCGTCCCCCACGCCAAGGAGCCAGAATTTTGGGGTGCGGGATGCCCATACGGCATCCCGCGCCTAAACCCCCAACCTACCCCCGCGCAATGGGTGGAATTGCACACGTAGTGTCCCGTGCCCCTTTCGTCCACTTCAATAGTAGGGCGTCCCCAACATTAGGCTATTATGCGTAACAAAGGGTATTTTGAGGCACAAGGGTAAAGGCGCTCACAGACACTACCTCGTTTTGTGGAAGGGGTACACTTTGGAAGAGGCTGCATGGGAGCCAACAACCCACCTCGATTGTGCACTGGAGGTTTTGGAGGATTACTTGTACTGCGTTCAACAACAAGAAGCTAGAGCTCGGACCAGAGGGAAACATTCGCCATAGGAGTGGGTTCCACTGAGGAGATTTTAAAGTCACCAGTGCTATTCGAGATAGGTGAAGGTGATGGAGACCTACACGGAATGGAGGGTAATCATGTTCCGCACACCGAATTCGTTCGGTGTGGGGTACAGTTTGTCTTCGCACTGAGTAGGCTCGCGACTGTCTTTGGTTGGTGTCGGTGGAACTATGGTGACGGTCCCAGGTATTTTTCTTTTGAGTTATCTTTTCTTTTGTTCTCCTATCCGTGGTTGAGGACAACCACTCTCTTATAGGGGGAAGTGCTGATGCGTTTGTATCTTGGGCGGAACTTCATTACCTTACATTTTGGCCCTTTTGTTGTTTCTGCCTCGGATGGATGAATTGGTTTTTTATACCACCCTTTGGGGCGTATCCCAAAGGGGTAAATAATATTCAACTTTTGGTGTAACAATTATTCTTGCACAAGATTGTGTCTTGCCTCTTGACCGTGCTTCCGTGTGCATCAATGCCCATGGGCTATTGATGTCGGCGATGCGGAGAGAAGCTATCTTACGAAGATAGAGACCGCAAAGCATATAGGAGGAAAAACGCCTGCTATATACTGAGCCGATGACTTACATGTTCGTTCGAGGGCGCGGTTTATCTATGGTCCGAGTATAGAGAGTGTTAGTGCCTCGCCTTCGAACCGGGGGAAACACATAGTGAATTTTGTCGCGGGTTATCCCTTTCCAAGCGGTGCACCATGGAGAAAGAATTTTGGGGCTCTGGAAGGGGGATTAACACGGGGATGAGGCGATGGGATTGGTTGGGGGAACGGCACTCCAGTGGAGGACGCTGTGGAGCGAACGGAATTTGCGCGGCTCTGTGAATCGATGCGGCAATGCTCTTTCCGGGACTATGGCAATCTGGACGCGTTCTTCTGGCTTGCGAACGGTTCACGGGACAATCAATCTGGACATTTAGTTGGGAAATCGACGGGCACCCTTTTCTGACTTTGGGGATGCAGTCAACTTAGAGGGTATGTCCTGTTACGGTTGAAGGGGGCTGTGGGAATTGGGGTATTATTAAGTAAACGGGGACATTAGGGGAGCGGGGCCGCCACCTTTGCTAGCGGTTCTCGAACCAATGAATGAGAGTTCAGATTCTGTCTTGTATCATAAGAGTTCTGTCCTGTAACGAACACCCGCTCTTGCCACGGGCGAGAGCAAGGGAGATTTGGGACGCGGACTCTCCACTGCCGTTTGCGTGCTGCGAGGAACCCCGATTGAGCGAGCATTTTACAAGGCCACGGATCATAACTGCAATTGAACCTGGGACGGAGGAAGTAGCAAATTGCCGGCGGCCCAAGCGACCAAGCGACCACCATTTGAAACCCCTACAAAACTGTGCCACCCCACCCTCCTCGGCCCACCCCGCACCCCCACCCCCGTTTCCCTTTGGCCAACGGCCCCCCGGAGCCCCTCCAACCGCTCCGGTCGCCTCAAGCGCCTTTCCCACTCCTTCACTCGAGGCGCCAGTCGTCCGCCCCTTTCGTAGTCTCTTTTCATCACTTCCGTCCGCTCCTGGTAGACTTTACCGGCCCAAGAGAAGACGACGACTTCCGGAAGGACAACATATCTTCCGCCCAAGGGGCTTGATTCCGTCGGTTCCGTCCAGAAGCTCGATCGCTGGCCGGCGCCGCGGGCATGGCGGGCAGGGAGCCGTACAACAACTTCCGTCCGGAGGGCAGGCGGTTCTCCCGCTTCCAGGAGGAGCGCGGGTCGGAGAGCGAGACGGAAGACAGCGACGAGGCGTCCGGCAGCCTGGAGGACGAGGAGGAGGCGTCCTGGATATCCTGGTTCTGCAGCCTGAAGGGGAACGAGTTCTTCTGCGAGGTGGACGAGGACTACGTCCAGGACGAGTTCAATTTGTCGGGGCTCAGCGCGCAGGTGCTGTACTACGACTACGCCCTGGACCTGATCCTGGACTCCGAGTCTCCCAACAGCGAGGTGTTCACGGACGAGCAGCACGAGCTGATCGAATCCGCCGCCGAGCTGCTGTACGGGCTGATCCACGCGAGATACATACTCACAGCGCGGGGGCTGGGCCTGATGCTGGAGAAGTTCAAGACCTGCGACTTCGGGCGGTGTCCGCGCGTGCACTGCAACGGCCAGTCCTGCCTGCCCGTGGGCACGTCGGACATCCCGCGGCAGTCCACGGTCAAGGTGTTCTGCCCCAAGTGCGAGGACATCCACGTCCCGAGGTCCAAGTACCACAACCATGTGGACGGCGCCTATTTCGGGACCACCTTTCCGCACCTGCTGCTGATGGCCTACCCGTCGTGGCGACCCGCCAAGCCAACGAGCGTGTACGTGCCGCGCGTGTTTGGCTTCAAGTTGCATCCGACGGCGTTCGAATCAGCGGGGCAGTCGGGGGGCGTGTCCAGCAGGGCGGGGTCCAGCCAGGCCGTGCAGAGGGCGCAGCGGAGCGGCCGGATGGCGAACAGCGCCCCAGCAAACGACGTGGGGGCGAGCCCGGCGAGAAAGGCCAGGGCTGGCGGGCGGGGGGGCAATGCGGCGGCTAAGTGAAGGAGGAGGAGGCCAGAAAGGGGAATGGTCGAGGGAGCCTGCATTGGATTCGGAGCCCGGCGGCGAAAATCGCACTTGAATTTTTTGGAAGAGGCGGCGAGAGGACGGGTGCACCTGTTGGCAACTTTGGGCACCGCTGGTGCTTTGCGGTCGGGGAGTTTACTACACGAGTGTGTGGACTTGAAGGCCAGAAATCGGCGGAGGAGATGACCAACAGAGGGGCCCAGGAGTCAGTGGAGGGTCCTGGGGACTTTGTGAGTGTCGGCCAAGCGGTTGGCACCTGCCCGCCTTCGGAATTCATTATAAAGAGTTTGGAGAATTTCAGGCGGTGGCATGGACAGCCAGCACAGACCAACAGTGCCAACTCAAGCCAACAGAGTGGTGCAAGCACACTTGCGGTGTGGTCTTTGGTTGCTGTGGCCCCTTGAAATGGGCACAATGCATCCTCTGTCGAGTTGTGCCCACATTTGCTTCTGTTTGGGAAAGGTGGCTTGCTGAGGCAGTGCGCCACAGCCAAAATACTTGTATGCAGTACTGTTTTTCAACGAGCGGACATGCGCAACAGTGGCCTTGTGATCACGGGTGCTTAACTGCTGTTGGCGTGCTGTTGGCCACAGCTGCCAAGGCCTGGGGGTGCCTCAACAGACAGGCAATGATGGTGGAGAGGTGACATGCAGAACTGCGAGCTGATATACTCTTGCATCATGTTACATACCAGCTTTCACAAATGCCATCCAGAACAGAGGTGGACTGGGGTTGCCTGACAATAGGACTCCATTCTGGGATTGGTAGAATGGCCCATGTTTCTGTCGTTTGATACAGGCGCGGGGATGATGTGTGTGCTCTGTGTTTCCTGCTCATTGTACTTTGGGGGTCGAAGGATCGTTGCATCAGCGTTTTTTGTTCAATTCCAGCACAGGGAATTGCACGCTGAAGTTGCTGCCTTGTGCTTCAAGACGGTACACTGGCGCAATAGTCGGCAACCCGTGTTTGGAAGCACACACATATACTCAACTCGCACGCTGCCATGATTCATCACACGATGTTCCTGAAGAGGTGTGTAGGAATTCATATGTTCCAGCACGGAGCGATCCATGGTGTGACGTGCCTCTCCTAGTGTTAATGGTATCTTTGCCCTGCTGGTCTGGCAGTTAGGATGGCCCACTTTCAAGGGTATCGACTTTGGTGCGAGTCCCAGGGACCAATTGGGGATCAGCACAGTTGTGACAGTGCCGGATGTGAGTTTTCCTCCAGTGCGAACATTAAGTCGCCTCCCTCTGTGCTATCGTGATTTGGATGACGCGCCTGTGTCCTGATCATCCGCTGATCTCATCGGCATCTGAACAGATTCCTGGACAATCTACATCGATCAACTTCAACCCAAAATTGTCATTCATTGACACCAATGCCGGGGAGACAGCGGCCAGTGGCATTAGGGAATGTGGGACACAATTTCCCAGCAACCTTTTGCATCCGGACAAGGCCGGAGCCAGTTTGTTTCATTACAGGAGCATTTAGCAAAATCTCGACAGCAAGTGGCAGCCAGCCGTCAGATTTCGATGCCGTGAATTGGCAGGCCATTAGTTGCCGGTGACCAGCAATTCTGGGGATCTGAATCTTTGCAACTTCAAAAGCCCCCATTAGCAGCGGCAATTTGCGATGTACGTCCGCGATATGGCCATAGCCATATTGTGTGCAGCAACTAATGAAGATCAGCTTGAAGATCCAGATGGCACTGTTGCACCACAATCGTCTGCCGCTGCAAGGCACGGCCGGCTCCAGGAAAATGACGCTGCCGAAATGCCTCCGCGACTGGTGGCAGGCGACCCGTTTTGCTCAGGACGTGTTCTGCTTTGGCAGCGGCGAGCGTTGCAGGAAACCGCCCCAGATTGTGATTGGGCATGTCCAGCAGGTGTGCAGCGATTGAGATATATGGGTCCGGGGGCACTAGTGTAAAATATTGAACCCTTCCGCACAGGAACGTAACGCTTGGCCTTTTTTGCGGAGAAAATTATATAAATTGTAATGCGAATCTTGGCCTTTCTGCGGGGAGCAACGCAAAACATTTCGAATAACGCTCTGAAAAACAAAATGCAGAGTAAAAAGCGTAACGGTGAAATTATCTGACGCGGAAGGGTTGAACATGTTACAGTACCATCCTTACAGAGGACATGTGGGCCAGCTGCCCTCCCTTAATTCAGTGCAAGGTGGTGTGAAGCCTGAAGGCTGATCACGTAAGCCTGCATGCACAATCTCAAGGATAGAAGTTAGAACTCGTGAGTGGGGTGCTGTGGGGCAGACCAGAAATCAGGTCGTGTTGGAGTTGTTGCTGTGGTGGTGGCCCGCACATGCAGGGCTACCGACAGTCGTTTGGTAAGGCCTCCGGTGCGTCGTGGCCCTGACAGGCACCGCTGGGCAACAGGGTGGACAGGAAGACAAGGCGACAAAGCAAAGATTCTTAACGACCGGCTTCATACTGCATCATGCTGCACGTGTTCTTTCACAAACAAATTCCAGTCCTTGGTAATGTTTCACACAGTCTGTCACCGTCTGTCACCGCAGTCTGCCACTTTACAGTAAAAAGGACTCAATATTCAACATTGCATCAACAACGCCCAAACCTATCCCTTACCCATCCTGCTAGTCACAAAGGCGCTTGGTCACCGGCCTGGAGCAGTCCCCCTCCCTACGTCTATCAATCCCAGCAGTATAACAGTTCACATAAGGTTGAGTTCTTGGAGAAACGTATTTTTCATGCACAATGGGATGGCATGGCTTGTTGCCTGGAGGTCATCCTAATCATACCCGTCCACTGCGCCATCCACTGAAACACATGACAAAAAGAACAAAAACTCCTGTCCCTGACACCCCACCCCCACAATGTCTTTCATGCAGCGGTCCCCCATGAATTAGTGTGTTAGTGCCTAGTCCGAGGCCCCCAAAATGCCACACCCTGCAGTCCTGGACTCGTATTTGGAGCCAACGAGCCTGAATCCCTGACTATCCACCATCTCAGAAATAAAACATGCAAGCAATGCGTCAACACGCCATTCATTGGCCCAAAGCACGCTGTCATTCTTCATGGCCCACATCGCATTCAGCATCTCACTCCACTGCCCTATTCTGTATCAGGACAATTTCAGCGCAGGTGTCGCAACATCAAGGATGCCCTACACGCAGGCCCAAAGCTCATGGGCCAGCTGCAGATGGCACTGTGACGCTTCAAGGTCGATGAACGTGCAAGTGCCAACAAACGTGGAAGCGCCAATGCGACCAAGCCCATCACTGTGATTCGATACTGGCACTGGCTGCCTCACGTCGCTTTGTGGGCAAATGGGCATTTGAAAAAAGAGTTTAGACAAGCACACCCAGGGGTTCTCTTCAACCGCCTCACAACATCAGGGCAGGCCTGTCATGACTTTTCAACATCACGTCCGCTCAATATGCGCTCCGATCTAGCATCTACTTGCCTTTCAATGCGATTGGACAAGAAGAACGGGCAACCTCTGTCGCGATTATCAACAGACGTCATCCAAAGGTTGCCTTCCATCAACAACCCCTGATTCTGTTTATCAGCTCCACGAAGAATCGCTGGGCCATGGGGGACCCGTGTTTCTCGCACTCCGACAACTCCGTGTAGTGGAACTGACCGGGCACCCATGCAGACTCCCCGAACATTGCCTGCTGCGAGTTGAAGAATATGAAACGCATGTCGTCGCTGAACACGTGCAGCAGGCCCCTGACTGTGTTTTTCCCCAGCGGTGCCTGTGGTCTCAGTGGCACATCTGGCACCAGTGCCTGCCCTGAGGCAGTGCACTGCTGCCCATTGGCCGCCAGCCCCACCTCGCCAGCCTGGGCCAGCCGCTGGTCATGCACAACGCCCATGCCTGCCCCAGGCTGCACCGGAACGGCTGCCTTGTTCACCACCGTCACAACATCCATCCCCTGCGTTGGCTGGCAGACCTGCTGTCCCAGCAGCAAAGGCACCTGCATCAACCCCGGCACCGTATGGCCCTGGGGGCCCAGCCCCAAGCCCGCTGAAAGTGACAGATTCTGCACCGACGGGGCGCCTGCTCTGCTGGTCTGCATGGAAGCCTGCTGCGTCTCACATGCGGAGATGGTAGCGTCCCCTGTTTGCTGCTGTCCGAGCAGGGTGAGCATCGAAGTGGTGTCCAGCAGCAGTGGGGTTTGCGTGCCCTGCTGCAGCTTGGCTGCCGGAACTGAATAGCACTCGGAGGGAAGGGACGCCAGCCCCATCGACCCCAAGCCCGCCACCACACCATCCTGGCAGCGCTGAATGGCCATGTTGGGAGGGAGCGGGGGGGCGCCCATGTTGGCTGGGCCCGTCGCAGACTGAGCCAGAACAGGGGGCAGCATCAGCGTTGACATGCCCAACGGGACGCTGGGCTGTGGAAGGAAGGCACTCGTGCACGTTTCCGACTTTGGAGGCATTCTTGGCGGCATTGCTGGGACCTGTTTCTGCAACATGTCTGTCATGCTGTGCACACCAGGTGGCATGACTCCAGGAAGCGCCAGCGTATCCATGGCCGCGGCTGCAGGGAGAGGCTGGGCGGCCTGATTCTGGGGGGCCTGGTGGCACGCCCCCCCAGATGCCAACATTCGAGCCCCCTGGTGGGCGCCCTGGGAGGAGGCCATGAGACAAGTCTGCTGGACGAAGCTTGCAAAGTCCTGCATCGACCCCAGGAGCTTCTCCGGTCGCTCCTGCCCCAGACCACCCGCAACGGCAGCCCCGGACCTGGGGACACACCCAGCCCCCTCCCCTCCAGCCGCCAAGTCCTTAACATGGCACGTCTTCGCCAGCTCGATCGGCGCTCCTGGTCCGCAACTCCCACCTGGTTGGGACACCCCTCTGGCCTCTTCGCCTCGAGGTGAGGCGCCTTGCAGCTGTGGCAGCAACCTGACTGAATGGCCCTCTCCAAACCCTCCAATTCCCCCCTCGGTCCCTGGTAGGGCCCCCACCATCTGCATCGACGCCGAACCCGGCACCACAATCCCCGCAGGCGCCAAGCCAAACTGACGCGCCTCATTCCCCAACCCGTTGCCGCGTGCCCTGTTCACTGACTTGCCCTCCAGCTTTCTCGACTCCGAGATGGGCCGCCCCATGGGCAACATGGCATCAACACCATCCCCTTGCCCGTCCCCTTTGCCGCCATTTTCGCCATTTTCGGCGTCCAGCACCGCTTGAAGGCGCCCGCACGCCCCCCTAACAGCTCCTGGAGGCCCCATCTTCGCCCCTCCAGATTCTCCAGACCATTCTAACTCCCTCTCAGCGCCGCCAAGCTTGCCGGGCAGATCGACGCCCAGCCGCCGGCGCTTCCCGGCCGGGCACTCACCATCTTCGCCATCGTCCCTCCGCCGCTGCCGCGCCTCGACGAGCAGCGAGTCGTCCCCGAGGTCGGGCATGGGGGGTCGCGATTGAGGAGCCACTCCTGTGGCATGCGAATGAAAGGGCTGCTGGCGATCAATGGGAGAGCCGCGAGCAGGATCAGGGGCATGCCGCGGGTGGCCGGGGAAGATTTGATCAAGACGCCCGGCAGGGTTGAGGACGGCTGGCGAAGCGGGTGGGGGGATGATCAAACGCGCGCGGGGAGACAGTGGCGCGTAGTGGGCCGCTGGAGGGGCAAGATTTGCCACGAGCAGGAAACAGGTCACACAAAGGGCAACCCCTCCTAGGCAAGTGCGCGCGAGACTCTCTTGCAGGCTGCGTAGAGAAAGCCGCGGGGGGGGCACTTTGGGGATGACATGCGGGTGTAGCGCGTTCGAGGGGAGCCCAGGGGGCCGCGCGACTTGTCTCTGGGGCAGCGCGCGGCCTCGGAGTCGACCCGGCCAATCAGCTGCTTGGCAGTGCGTGAGGAGCGGGCGGCCTCCACTGGTGTCGAATCCCAGCGACGCGAGTGTGAGAGGATGACGAATCGCCGGGGGCGGAGGGGCGAGGCGGCGCATCTGCCCGCCTCTGGCGCCGACCACGGTGCCCAGGCGATGCAACAAGCCCTAAACTCCAAACCATCCGCATACTTTCTGAGGCACTGAGGGCTGGGTCCATTTTCCGGGGCGGTTTGGGTGATCGGCGCGCCTGCGCGGTCGTACGGCCGTCTTCGGCCGATCGAGGCACCAGCCGGGAGGCCCGATTCCCAACGGCCCGGAAAGATGAGCGCGAAAGATCCCGGTGCCCGGTGCCCGGTGCCCGGTGCCCCCGCGGGCTCATCCCCACCCGGCCGCGGCGGGGAGCCGCCAGCCGCGGTGCAGCGCATGCGACCCGGCCGGCGGCCGACAGGCCACAACCGCCCACCCCCACCGGAAGCTGGGGATGATTCGATTCGCGGACGAGCAGGGGAGCATCGCCGGGGATCAAAACCCTTTGATGCCTCCGGAGCGGACGGGACGCCGGATCTGCTCTGGGTTGGCAAAAACCCTAGAGGTAGGAGGCTGGCGGGCGACCTGCCTGGCGAGGCGGATTTGGAGGCAAGCCAGAACCGGAAACTGCATCCCCATCGATGTACTGAAGGAGGCAAGAGAGGGGAGATGGCGCGCGGCCCTCGAGAACGGCGCCCCGCGGGCTCAGGGTTCGGCACCGCGGCGCCGGGAACGCAGCCCGCACAGGAGATCAGCGCGGCGCGCGCACCTGGGCAGCCGGTGGGGCGCCGATCGGTGGCGCCCGGATCGCCTGGCGCCCGCCCAGCGGTCGCCCTCCGGACGTCTCCGCCTCGGCGGCTGTCTTCGACGGGGAACCTCTCCGGCCGCTGTGACAAAGCCGCGCAAGGAGGACAGCAGTTGGCAGGGGAGGGGGGTTGATGGTTGCGTGTGCTGGGGGGCAACTTGTGCTGTGCCGACAATAGCTTCTGGGCCAGTGTATTAGTGCAGTACATCACATGGCGGGGACCCAACCGTGTCCCTGCTCGTGCTCGTGGCGAACCTCGCGCATCGGTGTGATGTGGACGCGGCGGGGGCTGTCGGGCAGGGTGCGTGTGGTGCTGCGGTCCAATGGGAGCGATGGATGTGGGCACAAAGGGGGTCAGGGAAAGTGATGGCACTGATGGCACTGAATGTTCAGTGGGCGTGAGCAGTCGCGGGGCGCTGTTTGGGGAATGCACCAGTCCCTCCGTCTCTTCCGTGAGAATCCCTCCTTCCTCTGACAAGGCCAACGGGGGTCAGCGGGTCAGTGGTTTCAGGGTTCAGGGTGACGAAACAGAAGGGGTCTTCACGGAAAAGACAGAGCGACTAATTCCATGCCGCTGTTTGGGCACCAGGCGAATCGTGGACAATGCTAAGCTCGGGCGGAACGGGAAGCTGAAGGCTGCCTTGGGCGACCCAGGAGCTGTTCAGCCGCACAATGAGCGGCAATTTGCAGGCCGTGTGGGCCTCCTTTTACATCTACGCATATTAATGCTGATGATGTCTGTGCATGGGATGGCCACGAGGACGGCACCAGCGCAGTCGAGTAGGAAAGGGGTGTTTTGAATGCGTTATGGGGATAGGCATTCACAAAATGCCTTACAAGTGCATACATGTGCAATGCAACAGAGCGCCAAAGTGTCGCAGAAGTACAACTGCTTCGACTGCTGAAGAAGATGTTCAGGATACATGGCGGTTGATCGTATATCGTTTTGGCGTATTGAGACAAGTGCGCTGCAACATGGTGGCAATGCGGCTTCATGATCTTGCTGTGATGTCTGAATCCTGTCGGCATCTCACTTCAATGACAAGAACCATGTGATAATTTTGATAGGGCTGACGTCGAGTCCGGTTGATATGGCAATGACCACTGAAAGGCTCTGTTGGGGCAGGAGACGCATGGAGTTGGGGTTGCACAAAGATGCCGTGGCAAAGCAGAAACCTATGTCCAATAACGGGCCACATTTGGAGTAATGAACATGTTCTTGCAGGAGCCACTTTCTATTTCTTTGATTCCAAGGCAGAAATGTGTCCTTGTAGTATTGAAGTCCTTTGTTCGATCTGTCATGGGTAGGGACTATTTCGTTCCAAATTACAATGAAAGCCCTTGTGTGAGCACAGCTTGGCGCCCTTCCTGCAATTGTTAGAAATTCATCCCTCTTTCCCAAAAGCCATTTTCGCAGTGGCGACGAACCCAAATCATCCCATGCATTGAGCCACGAGTGACAACTGCACAGACTCAATTGTGCATCTACGAATCGTACTTGAAGAGATTGATTATGTTTTGTCAGAACGATGCACATCCCCAGTAGGCCAAAAAAGGGAAGAGAGCTAACGATATTGAGTGGCGCAAGTCGAAACCGGTCCACTTTGCCAATGATCCCGTGGCCATGGCTTCGAATCCCTTCCAGGCCCACAGTTTCCCACAGACATGGCAACAAGTTTTCAACGGCGTCGCGAGCTCCAACCAACAGAAATGCAGTCATTAGCGGTAAAATGCAAATGCACAATGCAGAAAGCGAAGCGCAAATCCGCATGACGCGCAGTGAGTGTTTGTTTCGACCAACCTCCTGGCAGCCATGAAATGGATCGCTCTGTCCTTTCCAGACAGACCCCTTCCTTCTTGTTTCGACAACCTAAGCCCTAAACACCAAACACTGACCCACTGACCCAATTTGACCTTGTCAGCGGAAGAAGAAGGGGTCCTCACGGAAATGACAGAATTCTCTACCCCCTCTGGCACGCCATCCGACAGGAGTGATCCACGCAACGGAAACCTGGTCATCGTGCAAAAGCTCCGTGCAAGGCATCACGCACCGCCTCCCCACACCGCATGACGGACCTCCCTCCCCCCACCCCCCCCGCCAGTACGACCACCCGGCTTGAGCCAACGCCACGCAGCCTCACTAACTGCCTTCCGCGCGAGCGACTCACCGCGTATAGTTTGTTGTACCGCCCGCTTGGCCTCTCCGCGAGATGACGTTGGCCTTCTAATGGCGTCCGAACATCACGGCGACCCCCGGTGCTGCGCGCCGCGGTCGCCCGGCCCCCGAAACAGGCGCACCCCGTCGCTGCTCCGCTCCGCCGAGGGCATCCCGGAGCGCCACAAAGCCCCGCCCAGGCCGCGCTAAGCCCCTCGCTGCCCAGTCAGCCGCCGAGGACCTCCGCGCCGCCCGCCAAGGGACCCGACTGGTGAGCCCATCCGCGACGCTCTTTTTTCGCATCGTCAAAGTCCGGCGCCCGCACTGATCGGGCCGGCTGATCAGCGCCGCTCTGGTCTGGCCTTTGAGGCGGAGCTCGGGGCCCGGGAAGGGCATGGCATGGGGGCCGCCGGCGATGAACTTAAAAGGCGTGGCGTGGGGTTGGGGTTGGGGGGGGGAGGGGAGAGAGTGGCAGCCTGTGCGAACACGGTGCCGTGGATCCCTCCCGTTGCGCTGCTTGCGGCGCTCCGAACGGCCGGGGGTCCGGACTGGACGTCCGAGAGACTGGCACAGAGCGCCGCGGGACATTTTGTTCGCGGGGTCCCTGCGGCGGGGAGGGGGCCACTCGCAATCCCCACCGGGCTGATCGCCTTCGGCCCCGGGGGGTGCATCGCCAACCCCTCCACACCGCAGCCCCTCGCCCAGAGGGCGATCGGCTACGCCCTCGGGGGGGCGAAGGCCCGTTCAATCCCGGCTGCCGCGCTGAAGCGGCCGTGGTGGAGCGGCGCGCATCGGGGGCGCCATACGACAATCTCGCCATGACTGAAAACCGCACCGGGTGTGCAAGTCATTCATGGGGGACGGGTCGGCGGTGGGGGATGCAAGGGTATTGGCGCGTTCGACGGGCGAATCCGGGGCGGCGCCGGCAGAATCCGCTGCCGCGGGGAAGTGCAGAGACGATCAGCCGACGGTGGCGCACAGAAGCCAGGTGGTGGGGTGGGGAGGCGCGACCTCAGTTATGTTTCTGTTCCCCCTTCGCCTACCAACGGCATTTGAATGCTTCGGGCTGGCATCAGTCCCCAAGTTTCGCTGGCACCCAGGGGGGGGCCGGCGTGGCAGGGGGTTGCCATGGAGCGCCCCCCGGATGGCCTGCCCGCCGCGCTTGGCTTAGGTGCTGCCGCTCGGCTCGCGGCCTGGCGAGGCGATCCCAGATCGGCCGGATGCTCGGTGCGCGGCGGACTGGCGGCCGCCGTCGTTCCTCTGATGCGGAGTCTTAGTAACGCTGCGGGCGGGTGGGTGCAAGCTGCTGCTGCGCGGCGCGGGGCTGGACACGCGCAGCAGGGTCGTCGGACGGACATGGGGACGGGAGGTGGTACTGGTACATCGAAAACAAGAATTCGTTTTGACGGGTACTTAGGCAGGGTGGACAGGTGGCGACGCTGAGAATGTATTGGTCCCGTTGTCTTTTCCGTGGAGATCCTTCTTCTTCCGCTGACAAGGCCAACGCCGGTCGTGGTTTTAGTGGTTCAGGGCTTTGAGTGTCCGAAACAAGAAGGGGCCTTGACGGAAAAGTCAGGCTCGAATACGCGG